ACGGTGGCTGTCCCTCGAGTCATCGAAAATACCCCGAAAATTTAGTGAAAGTGAGAAACTATCGCACAGTCACTTGGACCTTGACGATTCGAACGTTGGACGCATGGGGAAGTACGCGAACGATGAAGAAAGGTGGTATTTTCGCATATTTCGATGATGCATCCTCTTTGATCATTACACGTTCTCAAATACGGTGTTTATTGACTATTTAAAATGTTTAAATTGTTGTCTTTTTTAATCGGTATATTGTTAACAAGTTTTGTCCTTAATCTTGCTTGGCACATTACACTTTTATTCAGGCAAGTGTCTTTCTGTATAATATTTAAAGTAAAAAGTTGTTTATTTTTTAATACACAATATTAACGACATGTTTCAGCATTTATCTTCCTTGAGATACTGCACTTGTACTTTACTTTACTTTACTAATCCCAAACGGTATGTTTTCTATCTAAGTAGAATTAAAAAATCGTTACATTTGACCGACAATATTAATAAAACGTTTCCCTCTTTACCTACCACTAATATTTAGATAAGTCTTCCCCGTACAATTTTACCAAAATTATTCAAAGTGTGAACTACACAGCTGATTAAAGCTCGAGGTGTTTTTAATTCGCGTATCGAGTGCAATGACTGCGTTGTGCACGCACTAAGCGTTTAGGCTGACTATAACCACAGCCATCTACTTTTTCATACCCACAGAGGACTACTATCTCACAGCCTGGTACGCAACCACATCTGTCAGGACTCCACAATCAAATCCATTGTCCTGTCGAGGGGAGTCTGGTTCGACGAAATTTTTCCTAGGTTCATCTTTATCAAGAACGCGATCTCGTTACATTTCTCGTGAACTTGGAAGTGATGCTATTAATTGCATACCCAAATACGATTCCAATGATAACAGTTTTTAAAATCAATCTAATTTTATCGAGATAACGAGAGACGCGAGTATATAGAAGTTACAGGGAGATACACCCTCGTTCATAAATACGTGGTCATTTACTACCTTCAACGAATGATTAATATACGCCCGTGAATTATTACTATACAACTTTTGTTGCTGAAATCTATAGTATATTGGATAAGTATTTAACAATATTCGATGATATTATATGTTTTGAGTGCCATATTCAATTTTATAGTGGAACTTTGGGATCGTTTAAGTAGAAAAGTTCAATATATCAAAAGCATTTATGGCATAAATATTACAAAATGAATGAGATAATATTATTTCGGATACAATGAAGGAATTAATAATATGCAAGTTTGGTAAAAGAAATTTTAACATTATCTAGTTGTCTGTATAGTTTTTATTATTAGTAATGTGATATTAGAAGAAACATAAATGATGTAATTGATATTAATAGATTCGCAACTTTCATTAGATATCTATTTCTAGTAAAGAAGTGTCCACATATTTCTGAGCGGGTGTGTATCTAATTATAAGAGAAATATCTAATCCAGAAGAATAATTTAAAAAGGACACGCATACATCTAATCTCTAGTTTTGAGGAGATTCTGAATTCTAGTTGGATGTTTTGTTTGCCTTGAAAAAAGAAAACAAAAAAAATACATGTCGAATCGAGTAACCTCCTCCTTTTCGAAGTCGGTTAAATAAAACTAGAGATAGTTACTGCAACTAGGAGATAGTACCAATAATGATTAATAGTGCATATACTGCCTATCATTATTAGGCGTGGTCTTATCGTTCTCAGGCTTTCCGACATTCGATCGGTATATTCCCATTCATAAATTAGGTTCCGCATATTTCACAAGTAGGTGAATCTGTTTTCTCCGTGAAATGATTATTAATTAATCTTGTGTGACCTATTCAGAGCCCCATTAAATGTTATTTACTCTTTTCTGCTGAGATCAGTTCGTCTCTGTTTTAGAAATTTACTTTTTAATCCATGACGTCAACCATGACGTCACTGGAAGCTTCAAATACCGCCCAACGATGACTTTCGCGACATTAAACGAGTTGATGATCGTTGCCTGAAAGTGGCTGTTAGGGCGAATTCAGCGATATACGGCACCGTCATGGTCAAGGTCACACACGAAAGACAATAAAGGGGACCTGGTACACACCGAAAGCAGACTTCCAACTACTGCACGACCTTAGTCGTCGCTCAAACCTTCTTTCACATGTTCATGGTCCTCGTTACGTGGTCCGTTTTTTTAACCTTGTGCGACGTATTAAGACGCAAAAGTATTAAGTTTCGATTAGTTTTATTTAGATACAAAATTGTACACTATTTTCTAAGTAAAAATTTGGTTCATTATTTATTATTACAGAACCGTTGAAGTTTATACGTTTATACGTAGACTGGAAAGTAATGTCGTTTCTTTTACATTAAATCCAAACAAATTTTTAATAAATTTCTATTTTTAATTAATTATGTAATCGCCCTCGTTATCAACAGCCTCTTGCCATCTAGCGTGCAAATTTTCAATGCCAGATCGATAAAAATCAATGACTTGATGAGTGCTAGACAAGTATTTAAAATTACAAAAACGACATTACTCTCCAGTCCACCTAATATATGTATGTATAAATATATGTTAAACGTGCGATTGTTTAGGTCAAAATTGTCAATGTTATTGCACAAAATTTTAGAGCAATTGGTGCGTATTTAAATAGCCTTTACAAGAATTATTTATTATTAGATTATAAGTGTTTCCAAGCATCAATTTTTTTTATATAGTTAACAAAAAGAATATTTCAATCTAAAATATGAGAAATATAAATTGTAATTATTCAAGAAATTTAATATAACATTTTATTTTTTCAGAATATAGGTTTCAAATAGTAATGTAAAACTGCGTTCGAGAGACAAAAAAATTTATGTAACGACGTTCAATATTGAAATAGATGAAAGAACGACTGTGTCCACAATTCTATTGGAATACGTAATAATTGTGGACACAATGGTTCTTGTATCTACATACATCAACGTTTGACGTCGTCTACTTGTGAAGGCTTTTCGTCTCGTGTAATCGTTTCTACATTATTCCATTTCTTCGCGAGTATTTTTGAAATTATTCTAATCGAAGTTTCTATACAAATACAATATTCCACATTTTAGGTTGAAATACTGTTTTTATAAACTACTATATTCAAGAAGAATCACAATATATGGTTAAAATATTTACAATAACAAACTATGCTTGTGAAAGCCATGAATAAAAACATAAGCCCTTAAATAATTAACCCTAAGTTTCAAATTTGATACCGGACTTTGTTTTTAATATTTGACTGTATGTATGTTACCATTACGTAATGTTCTTTTGAACAAAAGTTAAAAAAGTAAACGTCAGCTGTCAAATTTTTTTAAATAAATACATTGATATTTTTTAAAAATTTAATTTGAAAAATCAGGCTTCTAAGGGTTAAGAGCATTAGAACCGAGTGAAAAGAAGAGAAAAGAAAATTCATGTATATGTATACATAACTGTATTCTATAACTAACCAACCTGTATTAATTTTCTCTTAATAATAACTAAACTACAAATTTTAAGCATTTATGGTGCAAGAAAATATAACAATTATATTTTACGAATAAAATAGATAATATAGTACATTATATATCATAGATCACTCAAAGATTAATCAAATATATTTTACATAATAATTTACATATATTTTTGTACATTTTCCAAATTACTGTACGTCATAAATGCATAAAATTCACAGTTTAACAAAACCGAACAAAAACGAAACTAAAATAGAATTCCGTGTCACTGCCATTTATCCCTACAACGCTGAAACAATGCTCCACGGATCATTATAATTCTCAAACGTCGTTCTATTTAACCTTAACCCGAATCGTGACTAAGACGCGGAATTCGAGGTATTCTTTATCACGGAATACGATCCTTAAGGAAATTCGAATCCCGTACCATCCGAACGAGACACGGGATCGCGGTATTCGAATCGATCCAATGGAATTCGATTAATCGACACGCGTGACGTTATCGACGAAACTACCTGTCGTCCGACTCCGATGGTTTAAAGCGGTTGGAGCTACGCACACGAGTGTATAATATTGACACAACGTGACGCGGACACGGGAAACTTTCTGTTCCCAGAAGACGATCTTCTCGAAACCGGCAACTAAGAATCGCAAATATTTGTCTTTTCCACGCCATCTTGACAGGAGTGGCGCGCTATCCGACACCTTGAGAGTACGGTACTGTTATGACCACGCCGGTAATTGTCCGTGGCTATCGACAGTTTCGGTTTTCGCGTCAGCAAATTCTCTGTAGATATCGATCACGGAAATTTCTTTTTCTCCTTTATAAATACACTCGTTTCTCTGTGCTATACTCTATTATGCGTTATTTGCCTTCACCTACTTATATTTTCTCCTACTTAACATCATTTCGTAACTTGAAAAAGTTGGGCACTTGGAGCACTGCCCGCGTGCTTCCACGTTACATGCTCCAACTGATTCAGACGCGACAAGTTAGATTCAATTTTTAACATTTATATATTTAATTAAATTGTGACGTATTGCTCTCATCGAAGAGATCCGTTTAAAGTCATCAAACAACTCGAAACACAAAGCTCACTCCAAGCTAAAGGCTCGTCGATCGGTTCAAAATTTCGCGGTTACCGCTCCGAACTTGTCACGTTAACGAATCAATAAAATCGAACGTACGCTTTCGCGGCATTAACGCGCGCCTAACATCAAGTTTTGAACGAAAATGTACGAGTCGCTACTTCGGGGTATTCCACGGATTTCTCTTCATCGAGGAATCAAGTTCAAGTTGAAGCAGAGAAAAGAAAAACATTCGAATTTAACCGTGGAATACGGGTTCGTGAGAAATTCGTGGAAGACATAAACAGTGCCGTGGCGCGTGTGACGAAAACGGAGCGACCGCTTTTTTGCTGTCACACGCGAGCAAAACGCGGTTGGTATCGAAAGAAGCACACTTTCAGGTTGAAGGTCACGAGAGAAGCGAAATAACGTCGCGGTATATACGGTGGAGTTGTTGCATACCTGATTCAGTGTCGTCGGAATGATGTCAGGAGTTTGCGGTAACATTTTACTGGAGATGGTCGACTGCCCCTCGAGTCAAAACGATCGTGGTGAACACGCGATACGTAGCATAATATCCTTGCGAGAAAACGATAGAAAACACCTTGACAGGACACACACAAGGATCGATCACGAACGACCCAGGCACCAACTGTTTCGTCACTTATGCTATCGTCCCGGACCACTGATTACTCGTAGATCGACTGTTACACTCGTAAACGGTATAAAACGATCTCTGTATCCGGCATTTAAAAAAATACGATTGATTTTTTCCGCGTCGAAGGGACGAGGCGAGAGAATACGTCCTTCCTCGACGAAGGCATGCGCAAGACTGACGGGTCCGGGCGGTGTAGCTGAACCCGAGCGCGAACGAGCGGCGACGGAAACGGCCGAACACCTAACATCCCCCGAATACGCGCACGCTATGGCATTTCGGAAATTTAAACGGTATCGACTACTGTCGAAGCAACTATCACGTGGAGATTATCGTCCCGATTCGGACCGATTGCTGATCTTAACGAACCTTTTTTCATGCCACAAAGTCGATGGAAACAAAGATCAAGGTGGATGTACAATAATAACAGACAACCAAGAACTGACCTACAAAATTCCCAAAGGAATTTCAATTTTCACATGTGAAGCGTACGCAATCGTACAAGCCTTACGATACATAAAATCCTCAGAACACAATCATTCTGTTATATTTACCGACTCCAAATCAATTCTACTTGCTATGGAAGATCTTAGAAGTACAACAAAAATAATTCAAGATATCCACGCCGAATTAACAGAACTTCAAATAGAAGAAAATGTTCAACCCGAATTCGTTTGGAATCCATCACACCATGGAATCGTGGGCAACGAAAGAGCAGATGAAGCTGCAAAAAAAGCCATCACGTTGGAAGAACCATATATCCAAATGCTACTCACATTAAATGAAACCAATAATTTAATAACAAAAAAAAAAAACAGCAAAAGAAATCTGGAACCAGGAATGGACCGACATGCCACCAACGAATCTACACCAAATCCGAAAATCAACTAGCGATACAACTCCGACCCTACCAAATAGAAGACTGCAAGTAGCAATAACAAGATTGAGAATTGGCCACACAAATTTAACTCATTGTTATAAAATAACAGAATCGCAGCCACCATCATGTACCTTTTGTGACGAGCCCATCACAGTTAAGCATTTGATTGAGGAATGTCAGGGAATGCAGCACAAGCTTGTAGAGTTCAAACTTATAAATAATATGCAAATGATTCTCAATAATAGAAACGAATTTCTTAAACTAATAGATTTATTAATTAAATATGGAATAATGAACAAATTGTAATCGAATTTAAATATTAACGTGGTCACTAATAACCCTGAAGTTGATGTGACCTTAAATAAAGTAATTAAAAAAAAAAAGAAAAAAAAAAAGTTGATGCGGAGATTAAAGAAAAACGCTGAAAGCAAGACTTTATTCACGAATTTCTTGTGAATGAACAGTTCAATGAAATTATTTGGAATTTTGTATGCGTTTGTATACGTAATTGAAATTACAGAAAAGAAATTTTGTATAAAGATTCATTGTATAAAGATTCGATGCCATTATGTCAAATAAAGTTTAGAATAAAAATTCAAAAAGATTTCTTTTGTTAATGACTGTAGAATCTAAATCTGTTAAAAAATATTCGAAATTTATAAAAATACAATTTATCTCTCTCTAGGAGTTGGTATATCGTTTTACGTTCAATTAAACGACGTGATACAATATATCTAATTAAAGTAAAAGCAATCATCAAATAGCATATCGGTATAGAATTGAGAACTGACAAATTGAGCTAACGATTAATCGTTTCTCGTGTTTAAATCTTATCTCTCGGTAGCTGATGACTTTATATGACGAAGTGTGACTATATTGACTCTCCGTATTGTCTCCGACGTACGTAATGAGAAACAAGATTAGTACTGTATGATAAATTTTAACAAACATTATTGCTTTTCAATGTACAATTAATTTCCACTTATGTATTGTTTTGTTATGTGACGAATATCACGTCAAAAAGAAGCAATTATATAAGTATTATTCAAGATGGAAACAATGATTGAAACTGTCAACAAAAACGAATAAAAAAGAACAATTGCCATCTCCTGTACTTATTAGTATACTTGTTAGATCCGAACATTTCTCGTGTGCTATGTAATGTCTTTACTTCAACCAAATAAAATCAATTTCGAAAATGTTTTTAATTCATGTTTCACATAATATTTTATTTCATGTTAATTCTTTCTTTAAATTCTTTCTTTAAATTAACAATTGCTATCTCCTATACTTATTAGTATACTTGTGTTAGTTCTGAATATTTCTCGTGTGCTATGTATTAATTTCTTTACCTCAACCAAATGAAATCAATTTCGAAAATGTTTTTAATTCATGTTTCACATAATATTTAATTTCATGTTAATTCTTTCTGTAAATTCTTTCTTTAAATTAACAATTGCCATCTCCTGTACTTATGAGTACACTTATATTAGTTCTGAATATTTCTCGTGTGCTATGTAATTTCTTTACTTTGACCAAATAAAATCAGTTTCGAAAATGTTTTTAATTCATGTTTCACATAATATTTTATTTCATGTTAATTCTTTCTTTAATTGTCGCCCCCAAATTCTATAAAATCTTGATTCCCATAAAATTATAACGCGCCCCTGGCAATTGTAAACCGTCTCTGTAAAACAAGGAAAGTTTGCAAATAAAAGTATGTATATCGCGAAAATACAGAAGCCGCCACTGTGAGCAGTTCGTTCCACGAAGTACAACTTCATTGCTGGGGAGGAACTCCGTCGCTGCCATCAGAAGCTCGTTTGTATTCACCTGGTAATGGCTGCCTCGCCAGACGCATAATAGCCGTGTCTAAAGAGTCGCGTTGCGAACGATAAATTCCTTTCCCCGATCGTTTCGCCCATACGTGGAATTTAAACGCCACCTCCACGAGACGAACACGTGAATTTCGCGGAAAAGATCGCACACTTGCTCTGACATCGTGAGAGTTGCACCCGTGAAAGCTGTGAATCGAGTAAAGTGGAAGGACGACCGTGAAACGGAACCACGGGACGATGAAGCAAAAAGGGCTCCGGTTATAAATATCGGTTACGTTAACCGGTCCTTCTAAGGATCGCGAGTCATCGCATCTTTGGTCTTTTGCGCTTCTCGATCCATTCCATCGGAAACGGGTTAATCGATGAAGATATTTCTTTGAAATGCTAAGAACTCGAAGTCCTCACTTGAACAAAGCGGAATTATTAATATCATTGATGCTCGTTTTGGCATTAAAGAGATGAAACTCGTAAATGAGGAAGGGGATGAAATTTTATAGAGCTTGGGTTTATTGTAAATGCAAAGAAAATAATTTCATTTAATGATTAGACTGCGGATTTTTATCCATTTATGCATTTATAGGGAGTTTGAATGTGCAAGAAACTACAAAATGCATACAGTATGCAAGAATATAAGAAATATACAGAATAAAGTTTATATTATAATATTTACAGAGTAAAATAAATTCCTATTTAGGTTCTATTTTTGTAGGTACGTTTGCAAAGATTTCGATTAAACTAGAGTAATGATTAAACTAGAAATTGTATTGATGTAAATGTCCTGCAGATAGGTTTTGGCTCGGTAATAATTTTAGCTCTGTAAAAGATAAATTGGAGCATTTCAAAATATTACAGATTTATACACTCCTTGAATGAATTAAATTTTTTCTACAAACTGTGACCAACTTGTTAACAAAAACAAACACTCGTTGTACATCCTATTTATATCTGGAAAATGATTTATGAAACGGCTGCTGTTTTCGTCATTTTATCGACTAGTTCATAATCAACTCTATTTTTATTTATGTGGTGTTCAAATGATATGAGTACGTATGCAACATCACTTTTAATTTAATTGCATTAACTCCTTATTTTTATTCAGAATACCTATAAATTGATAACGTCGAATGCTATTATCAATATTGTGAACCTCTACACAATCTATACACAACTTTTGAATAACCAAGATTTTCCCTCAATTGTTGCCCCATGCTAAAAGAATTATACAGGATGTCCCAAAAATGTTGGAGTTCCTTGAAAGCGGTGGTTCGGGAGGTGATTTCGGGAAGAATTATTTCTCAATGGAACCTCAAGCTTCCAATGTATAAATATTTTTGAAATTATTACCATATTTAGGAACCATACTTAAGTATTCATACATTTACGAATGCTCTTGAAAATATCTAAACAAAATCATGCACCAAATAAATCAGGAATATTCTTTTGTATTCTCTATGCAAACCTACGAGTATGAAATTTACCTCGTCGAAAAATTCTGAACCCTAACGAAAACAAAAATACTGTGCATGTAATATCTGTATCTTTATCATCGCTGTATCTTTAAATGTGTACCACACACAGGCAGCCACCAGAGTAGTAGTATCAATTCTCCCTGTAATTACTTTGCACGACATTTTTTGCCATAACGAGATTATATTACACATGTTTGGTAAACTTACCATAAAGTATGCGACGTAATGGTTATGAGGCCATTAAAGACATAGTGTTACAGGCGGTTGGGTTAATTTCGAGTGAGTCGTCATAATTTTATGCCGGATACGAAATTTAGGAAGGCCATTTTCGGTAAAAGCCGAGCTCGTTTCACGCATATTAGCCGCCGTGAACGTCATTTAATGACGGCGATTCATGGAATTCTCGTCTAACGCCAATGAGAATCATTCGCGTGACTCACGCCGCGTGATGCAATCTTCGTTCTTATCGTTAACTTTAAACAGGTGTTCCGGGACGAAATAGTTGGCGAACATTTGGTTCACAATATTGTTAATAGCATTCCACGTTATCAATTTATAGGTATCCTGAATAAAAATAAGAAGTTAATGCAATTAAATTAAAAGTGATGTTGCATACGTACTCGTATCATTTGAACACTATATAAATAAAAATTGACTTGAATATGAACTAGTCGATAAAATGACGAAAACAGCAGCCGTTTCATAAATCATTTTCCAGATATAAATAGGATGTACAACGAGTGTTTGTTTTTGTTAACAA